CTGTGGTACAGAGTCCTGATCACTCCTAACCTGTGTTCCAGTGGGTGGTGGGAGTCAAAACGCAAATATTGGTCTGTGTGGGTGGGCTTACGATACACGCCAGTTTCCAACCGTCCTCCATCTGAAACCGAGACATCGCACAGTCACAGCTCAACTTATTGAAGCTTGTTATCTAATAATTTTATATTTATATTAAAAAATAACCTCCTAAAACCCTACGTTGTACCTATGTTGAGGACATTGGTTTTAAGCTGGTTGTCTTTTGAAGAGGGACTAGATTTTAAACTTTGTAATTTTAAGTAAAAAATATGTAGTTATATTTTAACTTCTTATTGCTCAAAACATTATTTGTTTTTATACTCATGAGATTTTACAAATCCTAAACAATTGAAGGAAATTACAAACGCATGCCAAGCAAAAACTTGGGACACAGATAAAACTGTTTGGCCAAAGGGGGCACCAATTTTATTTTATTTTATTTTTTGAGGGGGGGGGTGGCATTGAGGGCTGAAAACTTATAACTCACTAAATGTCTGAGTTGAATTTATCTGTTCATGTTCTGTTCTGTGTGAAAACTAGTTGAGAACCTGACTGACTTGTGCAGAGGGGAATCGTTATGAAAGAGTGCATTTTCTCAGCAGAATGATTTTTTTACATAAAGTATGCAGAGTCATGCTGTTATCAGTCTTATTTGCCCTTACAATACTGTATGTGAACAGTCATTTTGAAATAAAAATGAAATTAAGAGACTTTATGTCTCAGAGCAGATGAAATATGAGTGACTTTCGATAAAGCTTTATGACTGCAAAATCATCCTTTAGTGGTGAAATGTTCCAGCTCTTGAACAGAAGCAGTGTTTTTCCAACAGAGAACTGACTCCACGTTTTGTTAGCTGAGGATTTGTGCCGCGCCACTGAGCTGAAACCTGGTCTCAGTCAGGAAATGTTTAGACCTAATGGTATTTTTTTTCTCAACTAAATCTTCATAATAAACTCCTCTGGCTTCAAATGACCACAACTTTTCATATCAGATGTCATGTTGCACAGTTTGCTTCTTTTTCCTTTTAGAAATTTAAAAACATTGTGTGAAACTGGCTATTATAATACCCTAAAAGGTATTATTAGAATACAAATACACTTTATTTGTTGTGCTCATTCACTAAAAATGAATTTATTGACATGAAAACCTCCTTTTGTTTCACATTATTTTCATGTCAAATTCCATGTTTGTGTCCTGAAGAACGCTGCCATCTTGTTCAATTTCCTAGCACCGATTCTAAAAATCTCCACAGTAGCTACAGGCCAATACTGAAAGTAAATGATGATATTATAAAAGATCACAATGCAGTCTTTGTCAGGGTAAACGTGATGTCTGTTGATGAACTCAACAGTTGTCGTACCCACTCTACTTCTCAGGTGTGTTTCTCTGCCTGAAGGTATGAATGACGCATTTGGACTCAGGAATGTGTTTATCTCTACCTCTGTTCATTTTAAACGAGCTTTGGTCCAGAGGAGATAGTTTATTTTCTGAATGGTGTTCCCATTTGGTTTCTTGTTTGCATGATCGAGTTTTGACCAGCATTCACAAACAGCACGATGAACTGTGAGACGATATTTATGGAAGTATTCCTGAATTAATGTGGTAATATCCAGAACCTCTTTTATCTGCCTGAAGGACCAAAGATCACCGACATTCAATATTGACTTTCAGTCTTGTCCTTTGTGCTCAGAAATTTCTCCAAATTCTTGATTTTTTTTTATTAAGTCTTGAACTGTAGCTGATGGAAAATTTAAAGTCTTCTCAGTTTTTCCTCATCCATGTGATTCACCTATGCCAACATTCTGAGATTTGTTGTTGAATAATTTAAAAATTCTTTATTTTTTCCAAAAAAATACAGTTTCTTACTTCAAATATTTATTATGTTTCACATTTTAATAAATAGGAACATATAGATTTATATCAGGCCATCACTGAGCATTAGTTGTGAGCTACGCATACCAAAAAATTGTATATTAGGTGAAATATTGAAACTGTTTTGTTGTATGAAAGTATGTTTTTTTGACATGTTTTGACAGGTGACACAGGTAGTATCTTTTGAACTCACCCATCACTTTCTGTTGTTGACAAAACGACTATCCATTTAACTAATTAAAAAAATTACAAGAGATTTTTGATTAAACATCAAGCAAACTCTTAAAAGTGTATCTTTCGTAGATAAAAATGAGTGAAGACTGAACAAAACATAAAACTGAACTTTTTTTAAAAAAATAAAACCTTTGGTTTTTAACAGGCTTTTACTTTGAAAAAACCTAGCGGAAGTACATATTGTGCGGCTGCAATGGGTTTGATGGTTGAAGGAACGCCACTATCCTACGTGCTCCTCGGTTGTTTGGTTAGAAGGCGGGGTTCAGTCCATAAATTCCTCTTTGAAACAACGGTGGAGTCAGAAGAAGCTCGCAGGTCTTCAGGAAAACCTCTTTTCTTCGCTTTTTTTCCTTCATCTTCAACGTTACAAGACGAACTTTCGCTTCGCGGTCGGACGTCGTAAGTGAACCCGGACTGCAAAGGTTGGAGTTTCACCTGCACGAGACGTCGAAATAACATCACCTCGAGAAAGGTTACGGACATTTAATGTTTAACTTTATATTTTCTTAGAGACCGAGTTTATGTGACTGGGTTCAAACACAACACCGAGCCTATCATAATTAGCCTTTTTTTTTTTTCATAATTTGCGGAAACAAAATTCAGGCTTTTTCCTCAAAATTTCTGCGAGCATTTATTTCCCCAAATTAGGCGGGTTAGTCTACGCTTCTAATTAGCTGTGGAAATGTAAAACAGCTTTGCTTTAATAAACCGTTTTACTTCAGATTATATGAGTGAAAATGACAGCTACATTAATTATCATTATTTCAAGAGAAAGTGCGCTTGTTGCTGCACGTATTGTTTTTATTTATGAGACCCCCATCCTGTTTGTGTTTTAGGAGGGGGTGGATATAGTTACACCCTATTTTTTTTTTTTTTGTTTTATTCGGCTCGTTTTACTGTGTTAGCAGATCTCGTAAACAAGTAGATGGCATTTCAATGAAACTTTTATAAAGTGAGCATGTTTTACTGCTATAATTCAAGATGGCCGCCACAGCCAACCATTAGGAAACACAGGAATGTCTTATTTTTACAGGTATTGAGCTAAAATCAGGTGTGTAATTACCTGAGACTTGTCCTCAACACAGTCTGAACGGAGGGATCGTGAGAGATCTGGTTTCGAAACTTTGCCATTTTGTCAACTCTGTTAGTAAAATATCTCCTATAAACCACCAGACAAATTCTAATGAAACTAATAGATCATTTTCATAATTGCAGCTGATTAACTGAGTCCCAATCAAGATGGCTGCCACAGCTAATTATAGCAAACACATTTAGCTTTAATTCAGCCCATATAAAGATATGGCAGAAAGTCTTGTTGTTGTTACATGATCCCCAACACACATTCTGACCACTACAAATGATACAATATGCCTAAAACCTGTGTGTTAAGTGTTGAATTAAATTCTGTATATATGTTAGCAAAATGTCCACATGAACCAATCTGTGGATTCAAATGAAATTTTTCACAATGTAATCATTGGATCTGTGACTGCATCTGATTAACTTTTGGAGTCAATTCAAGACTAACACAGCTAATGAATCAGTCAACATGAGGGTTGGGCAAAATCGAATCTTGTGCAATTAATCGTCAGAAAAACTTAAATCGATATTTATTTATTTATTTATTTAGCTAGCCACTTGAGGATTAATATGATGGAGATTTCCCTGGTCAATCCGATCAATGCTCCTCTCCGCTTCAAATATAACGGACATTTAAAAAAAAGTTCTGTAATTTATTGATCATAACTCTGGTTTTACTTGGTCTATCAACACAATTTAAAAATTGAAGTAAAGCCTGAAGTCTGTAGTTTTGACACAGTTTGGAACAGATTCTTATGGAGAGCAAATCTTTCCCATTAGAGTGATTTTAAACTGGTCATGTGACTAGGACATGCTGTCGTCCAGGGACTCCAGGTGATTAATGGTTATATTAATTCAAAAAGGAAAAAAATAAGTAGGTGCACTGGACGGGTTCTTCTTTAGTGAAACATTTCGTCTCTCCTCCAAGAGACTTCTTCCGGTCTTATTAATTGTTATCGGATAAATACCACAATTAATCGTGATTAATTTTTTTTCATTACCACCCAACCGTAGTCAACATCAAAGTGACAACAACTTAGTGAAGTTTACAGATATTGAGCTAATACATAGTTTTGTAGTATCTAATATGCAACATTGTGCAATATGTTTACAGGGTTTGGCTAATATGACAATAACTGTTATTTCCCATCAAAAAAATGATCATAGTTCAGAAGTCTGCATTCCTTCAAGAATACGCTGGGCCTTTAATTTATAAAAACTGAAAGCTACTTAGCTTGCCCACAAAACCATCTGGGTTTTTCTCTAAGAAAGCTCAGGACGTTCACCATTCACATCACAATCAGTCTTTAGAGTAGAGTAGGGTGGGGGCAAAGTGGTTAGATGGTTCTAAAGATTTAATTCAATCTTATCAAACAGTGACTGCTCATGAATGTTTAGGCAGCAAAGTCCGATTCTTCAGTACTGAAAAAGATGTGGCTTTTCGGCCTACAGGACAATGAAGGGTATATATGAATTAACCATTAACAAACACAGAATGAGCTCGCCTGGAAGAGACTTTCTAGGAGCTTCTGCTGTGGTAAATGTTTTATTACACATTTCCTCAGGGGAGCAGAATGAACCACTAAGATGCTTCTCAGCTCATTCAGTCTGGCTGATGTTCTGCTGTTTTTTTTGTTTTGTTTTGTTTTGTTTTTCACAGGGTGCCACGGGGATCAAAATGAAGATCGTTTTATTTTACATATTGGTGATCCTGTATGTCCATAAGGACGTGCTGTCTGTAGCTCCATCGTACGGTGAACGGGGTTCTGATCTTGGCATACAGGTGTTTCAGCAAGTTGTCCGCTCGAAGCCCTTGGACAATGTTGTTCTCTCACCTCATGGGGTGGCGTCCATCCTTGGGATGCTGCTACCTGGAGCCCACGGACAAACCAGGAAGCAGATTGTCAGCTCTCTGCATTACAAGAAAAAAGGTGCGGGGGTCCTGACAATTAAAAAACAAACAAACCTGAATTCACTGCAGTCATGCGGTGGAGAAACTCTACTTTGTGTGAATTGAGAACTTCCTTGTTGTTGTGCACAGGGCCTTATAAGATGTTGAGGAAGCTGCACAAGACTCTGGTGTCCAAATCAAACCAGGACACGGTGCTGATGACCAACGCCATGTTCAGCCAGAAAGGTTTCCCCATGGAAGAGGCGTTTGTGGCGATCAACAAAGCCAACTTTCAGTGTGAGAGCAGGAGCCTGGACTTCAGTGACCCCGGTGCAGCTGCTGATCAGATCAACGAGTGGGTCAAAAATAAGACCAAAGGTAAGGATCGTTGTTGTTCTTCATGTTTAACTATTCTTCAGGTGAAGTTTTGTCATTTTTTGTCTGTAATGAAATACAAGCATCTTGTTTTGACTTGTTCTGGCAACAGTTTTATTGCTCATGCTGATTCACATGTGGGGTTTACTATGAAGCAAGTTCAGCAGAGCTGGGTTTTTTCCCTTAGTCTGGCTTGACAAATCCTAAAACTTCATTAAGAAAAAACAAATACAGTGATTCTGAAGTTACCTCAGAGTTTCTGTAACAGTTTCTGTGTGAGTTCATTTGAAAATGGGCATTCCCTGCCTCCTCTGATGCTTTCTCTGCTCATCATACACTCATACAACAAACAAAGTTACAGGGGGGAAAAGCATGACACTCATCAGGCAGCTGAACAGTCAGAAGAGCAGCAGTTTCAACTGTGTTTTAGCTACGTCATGAGAGAGACTCATTTTTCCACATGATGCAGGGCTCTAGAGTGCGACCAATTTGGTCGCAAATGCGACCTGATTTCCTAATAGTGCGACTAAAAAAAAATGTCCGTTCGCACTGGTGCGACCGAGGGGGAGGGGGAGCGGTCGCCCGCTGAAAGTAAAAGTTTTCATCATGTTCCATAAAACAAATCAATCCAACAGTATCAATGGTCGCCCACCGACAGTCTCATCTCTCCTAATAACACTGCGCTCTGCTCGTGGGCTCCACTCCACACCTCCCGCACACACGTTTGTTGTTCTGTCCTCATGGGGACTTTGCATTGGTTTCCATTCATTTCCCCGTCAATTGTATAGCCAACCATAACCTCCCAGGTAGACTACACACCTGACCCTAGCCTCACCAGGCTGTGTGTACCAGGAAAATGGTCAATAATTGTACCCACCATGGAGCAAAAATCAGTACACACAAACGCGCGTGCGAACACGCACGCACGCATAGCAGAACAACTGTAGTTTTTTTAAACCCAGATCAGAGTCTGAAACACAGTTCTTCCTTGTTAGCTGGAGATCATTTGAGCAGGACGAGAAAGTTCACATGTATGGCAGGCCGCTTTTGCATTTAATCGACTTCACCACAGTTACATTCCAAGTATCTGAAATATGTTCTTCTGGGTCTCAGGAGGATAAAACTAGACATATTAGATATTTACGTGAAATAATATAAGATAATAAGATTCAACTAATTATGAAATTGCAGACTTTTATGTGTTATTATTTTAAAAAATGTGCACAACCTTTTAATAAATATCAGTAATGTTTCTCTTATCATTATTCTCTGTTCATCATTCTGGTTTATCCAAGGCCAAAGATCCATAGTTGTCCATCTGAGGGGCATGTGTCTAAAAAAAATTAACCATGAAATGTTTAAGATGTTTATAAGACGTTCAGCCCTTAAACATTTACACTTAGAATTTTATCACTTCAAATACTTTTCAGTAAGTTAAATGTCTACAATTCTGGTTCAAATAAAGAACTTCATGTTTACTAGATTAATTATTTTTGAGTTAATGTTGCCTTAATGAACAGTGATTTAAAAAAAAATAACCTGTAAAACTCTGATGTTAAATGCGACGTGGTTGAAAATTTGGGTGCACCTAACTTTTGTGCTGGTGCACCTAAGAAAAAATGTTAGGCGCACCAGTGCAACCAGTACAAAAAGTTAGTCTAGAGCCCTGTGATGGTTTCCTGAATGTTTCTCACTAACCTGAAACAGATGGACAGGAGCTCTTTTTAGCTGAAATTGACCGTATTGCAGTTGTTGTTCTGGCTGGAGATATCAGCACTGATGTGGGTCAGCAGCTCATTAAACTGAATGCTGTGTTAAACTGGACTCGGGGGGGAAAAAATAGTTCATCAGCTCGCAGTTCCTGGAGTGGTGAAAGTAACCAAACAAACTGCCTCTAAATTATCTGGTGAATTAATTATCTGGTGAGGGAAACTTTCGCTTGCTTTCAGTAAATAAAGCAAACCCATTTTCTTTAATCTATTTCATCCGCCATTAAAGACAGACCGGAAAAAAGACAAGACGCTGCTCCCATTCAGATGCACATCTAGTCTCTGTCCCGGTCTGAACATAGCGTGTCCAACTTGATGCATTGGGCGCGTTTCGGACGCTCAAAACACGTTGGGTGTGAACGTAGCATAACATTTACAACAACGACAACGGTGATCAGAGTCGCCAACACTGAAACTTTTTAAATCTAAGTAGAATAGAAGATTTTGGGTACTCCCTGTGGCGTGTCAAAGAAAGCTGCTACCTCAGAAATGACATGCGCACTTTTACAGGTGGCTGCAGTCAATAGTTTGTCTGCATTTGAGAAATTCGATGAACGATAAATTTCAGGATTTTTTTGCTACTAACCCTTTTTTTATCATGAACATCAGGATGCAACTATGTTTGTGTCGACATCAGTGCTGCCAAATGTACTGAATTACAGTTTGGTTTTTTTTTGCCACTTTCTTTTGCTGTGAATGTTTGCTAATCACACAGCTCAATCTTACAGCATCCTCATCAGAAATCATCCTCTAATCAGGGCCTCATTTTAGTACCTGTGGGCTGTTTTGTTTTACTGATGACATTACAAACTAAGAGAGCAACAGTTTTTATTTTTCTGTTTTTCTGCTGTTGATTAGTATAGCAATGCTAATCTAATGATGTGTTGTGCCTGCCTCTTTTCTTGTGAACACAAATGGTTTTTGTAAAGAACTTTTGATTTACTGTTTTGTATATTTCCAGGTCACATCCCCAGCCTCATCAAAGCAGACATGCTGGATTCAGCCCTGACCCGTCTGGTTGCTATTAACTCGATCTACTTCAAAGGCTTGTGGAGGTCGTGCTTCCAGCCCAACAACACTAAGATGAGGCCCTTCAACGGGGGCGATGGAAATGCTTATAAAGTTCCAATGATGTCCCAGCTGTCAATCTTCAACATCGGTAAGTGTTTAAACTTGCCCCGTTTACGGAACATCTTTAAAAAAAAAAAAAAATTTGTTGAGTGAAACAGGAGCTATTTTTAACTGAGTTTCAGCCATTTGTGTGCACGACAGCAGCCCTCATTCTCTCTGAAACAGAAGGTTTCTTTGTGTTTCCAACCCTTTTTCAGCATGTAGGAGCAAAACCAACAACATCCACGATCCGAAGGAACGTTAGTTTATTCATCAGTTTGAATGTAACTGTAAACGTGCTGACACTGTTTGCATGATGCCTGCAGCTGAGCTCAGCATCAGGGTTACCAGAACAACATAAATTTTATTATATATTTTTTGTTTTGTTTTTGGCCCCCTCCTTTTCTGCACTCGTTCACAAAACACATACATCTTACAACACCCTCACACAGCAGAGTTTGGGTCAAAATCCAATCATTTTAAAGCGACAGAACAAAAATACACAATTTCCTAAATGGCAGCCCTGCCCGAGGATACATGTAAATGTGTGTTGTTGTTGCTGTTGTTGTTGTTGTTTTTCTTCTTTTGTTTTTATTAATTTTTTTTATTCCCCCAATAAACATAGAAAAAAACCCACTAGTGTTTCTAGAGATTATTCTTGTGTAATTGGGCCAAAGACACAAGAACAATCTTGGATTTCAAAAAACAAGGACCAATGTCGTGTAATGAACAGCTAAAATGCAGCAGAAAGGCTAAACAGGGCCTTCTACTCACTCGCATTTCACTGATATTTCTATTGGTCTTTTCAAAGAAACATTTCGTTTACAAGTAATAGGGACAATTTAATTAACTGGTAGATCTGGACTATTAGTAGGCTCCTCTGATTTTCAAACCACTGGACATTGTTTCCATTAAACTAAAGCTTATTTATTATTAAAGACTTCGACAGTCTCGTATTTCAGCAGAACAATTCAATTCAAATACTTTATTGATCCCAAAGGGAAATTACAGAGAAGAAATTCTGCAGGTTTTTTATGATAGCTTTCTTATATCCATGTTAATCAGTAGTTCATGTACTCTGGTCTGCTAAATAAATGTTAATTTATTTTATTTTATTTTTATCAAATTTTAGGATCCAGTCAGTCCCAGTTTGATTCACAGAGCAGCTTGTGGAGAGTTGTAAAGAAATGCAGGCTTAGATGTGTCACATCTAGAAGATATTATTTAGTCTTGTGTGAAATGAAATGATGCAGTAGTCAGTCATCTATATTTAGAGGAGCTGTCAGAGCTGTTAACATGGTGAGGGCGTGCGAGGGAAAGGTTTACATACAGTGATGGTAGGATTGTTTTAGGATTTTTGAACTAACTGGGACAAAATATGTTTAAGTGTATAGATTGTGTGTAAACAGAAGTGCAATCATTTCTGAAGGATCTAAGACTTAGGCCCTCTGCAAGAATACGTTAAACCCAGAAAGAAGAGAACACGCACATTGTTAGCTGACCCGGATGACTGAATGCTGGCATGATCTTTCTTCTGCTGCTCTCTTGAACAAAAATATTGCTTTTCAAATCAACAAACTGACTCATTCTGAGAGACTTGTTCCTGTAATCCCTCATTGTCCACCTACGACTGTTTTTAGTCTACGTGCTGTGCATACCTGTTTATCCTGCTCTGACTTCAGCTCAGGTCTCTTTCCCGACTGTTCACCTGATCTACATCTAAAATGCGGGCTAGCTAGGTTTACACATGGTGCAACTTGTAGGGCAGAAGCAGAGCTTTCAAACAAGAACAGCCACTCCGGGATGCAATGCTCAAAGCCGGCGCTAGAGGCTCAGCAGCAAGGTTGCGCTGCGCGGGCACCTGGGAAACAGCTGCCGGGCGACCAGTCGCTTGGGCCCCCCTGTGATAAAGTGTCCGACGTTCATGGTGTAATGACAACAGTGACTTAGCGTCAGCATATTTCCGTAGTTAGTTTTGATATAAGGTTTCAGGTTTACTTTAGGGGCTGCAGTTTCATTGATGCCTTTGTTTGATCAAAATCATGGCAATGAGGCACAATTAAACATATTACATTTGTTTTGTCAGATCAAAAAAGTAAATAAGCTGCTACGATAATAATGGGCTATTTTTTTTTTATCTCAATGCTTGCACATTGTAGACCAAAATGAAAAAGAAATTTAAAAGTGGAGATATTGACTATTATTATTCTTATTATTCTTATTATTATTTTTATTATTATTTTTTTTTTTTTGCAAAAAAGCAAGGGGTGAGAAGGAAGAAGAGACTGAGAGTTGAGAAAGAAAGGAAGATAGAGACCAGGAGGGTCACAGGTTAAGAAGCCCACTGAAAGTGCAACAGGTGAAGATGATGAGGAAAGTCATGTATAAGTGGTGAAGAAGAGAATATTTCAGAGTCAGAGAGAGAGAAGACAAGTGCAAAGGAAACTGAAGGAGAGAAGGAAGGCACAGAGTCAGAGAATCCAGCCTATATTTCAGCAGGACCACCTGGTATGTAGTACAAATATATTAGATGTTTCAATGAATAACACATTATCTGTAAACGTCTATAGGTGTGTTTATGAAACTAGACATTCCAGACTTAATAAATATAGTCAATTCATGTTCTAATTTTAGTTAACTAAAATAAAAACATATGTGTATGTGGTGTCCTGACCCTAAACCTCACCTCCCAGATACGTACCAGGCCCTAAACCTAACCTGAACGTAATTCTCACCTTAGTCCTTAACCAACCACATTTTGTTGACTTCCATTCATATTTGAAGCTGCATTTATGTCTAACCCAGACATTTTCCTAACCATTACTAATCTATTCATAACCTTAATCAAAATTTAATTCACACCATACCTCTAAACCTAACTAGTAGAGCTGCAAAAAATAAACCTGGGAAAATGTCCTCATTTTGGAGAAATGACCTCACTTTGTTGGTTAAAAGAAATGGTAGTCCTCACTTTGTAGCAGAAATAAGTGTGTATACACACACACACACACACACACACACACACACACACACACACACACACACACACAC